CCCGACCCGACCCAGCCCCGCGGGGGATGCCCCGGCCCGGCCGCCCAGCAATGCGGTCTGAGCCTGGGGCCCCGCACCGCTCGCGGGCAGCTGGGCTCTTGCTGGCCGGCCGGGATGCTACCCGAGCAGGTGCAGATCCGCCCCGGCTGCGGCTGAGGGCCGGGGCTGCCAACCACGGGGGAAGCTGGAGCCTCTCATCAGTTCAGCCCCCTTTTCTGCCTCCTCCACAACCTGGCCACTTCTCCCGCCCCCTTTGTCTCCCTGGACCTCCTGGTCAGCCCCCTCCTGGCTCTACCAGAAGAGGAAGGAGGCGCTGGCGGGGGACCTGGGCTAGTGTGGGGCTGTCTCCTCGCTCCTCCACCCCTGTTTCCCCGGTGGGCGGCCACAGGCTCCCTCGGCTCGTTCTGGGGGCAGTGGGCTCTGCTCGCTGTGCCCGTCCAGCTTTCTTGTTATTAACCCGTGACCTCACTTCCGTTCCTGTTTTTGTCCCCTGTATTTAGTTGATGCCCCCTCAGTGGCATCCCTTGTTAAGAAGGCCTAAACCCACAATCCATTCAGCACATCAAATGGACCTGTGGGGTTGCCCTCCTGGGCTCTGAACAGTTAAATGCCACATGAAAATAACTCTGGGGTGGAGATCCTTAGTGGATTCCTGTCCCTCCTAAGCCCTGTTGAGAAAAATTACATTGACCTCAGAGAGGTTCATGGGACAGATTCATAACATAAATGAGATATTCGGAAATAATAAAAATGCTGATTGTGACCCCACCAACAGACTGGTGGTGTCTACACCTACACAAGATGTTTACTGTGTAGACATCTTGTCTACACAGTAGACATTAGAGTAGACACTAGAGTAGACATTAGTCTACTCTAATTAGAGTATTAGCTCTGCAGTAAATGCCTTCACATCTACACATGTAGAGCTATTCAGCTGCAGTAAACTAATAAATTCTGCACCAGGATAGTACTTGTATTTGCAAATACTAACCTGCTACAGAGGTTTTTTTATCCACAGCAGCACATGTGTAGACACTGACCCAGCTGGCTGGGGCATGAGGGTGCTTCAGTGCAGGGGCTGCCTGCTGGCTAGCCCCAACTGGAGCACCCTTGTGCCCCAGCCAGCCTCTCCGCAGCACACCGAGCTGGGTGGGAGCAGCCTCAGGCTAGCAGGCTGACCCCCTGCCAGCCAGGGCTGCTCCAACTCGGCTCAGCATGCTGTGGTCCCAGGGACACACATAAACATGGCACCTGGGAGCAATGAAATAGTTTATTGTGTTGTATTAATATGCACGTGTAGATATGCCCAGTGTCCTCTGCCGTTCAG